CTTCTCTTCTGACAAATGTATTCATGAAAGATAAAGAAGAGAAAGAAAAGAATTAATAATTCTCACATCTCTGAGTTCATGTTATAATTACAATATATACTCTGAATGAGAAGATATCAGTGAGATACCTACTCAACTTCAGAATGAATATCAACTTCATATTCTATTTCTTTTCTTTAATAAAGAATTGAAAGAAGATAGATTCATCAGATCATATAAAATTTACAGATGAAATAAAATACTATCATTTTAACATAATTTAAGCAAAGTATGTGATCACAGACTTAGAAGAAATCTTTAAGAAGAGCAGTCTGCTTCTTCACACAGTTAATATTATAAATGAGAATGTCATTTTAGATCTTCTATAATTGAGAGAAAACAATTCTTTCATTGACTGAGTTACTCAGATATGATGATATTATCTCACTAATAAAGAGACAGTGATAGAGAAATCTGAAGAGTTTTATCAGAAGAATCTTGAGAAAAAGATTGAGTCAATATACTGTGTAGTAGATGATTAAGACTTAAGAATAGATGAAGAAGTCATCACTCTCACTGCAAGATTAGCAGCAGTATTTATTATTAAAGACAGATGTATATAATGTCTCTTTACAGATTTTAAGAATGTCTTTTTAAAAAGGAAAGTAGTGAAGTTTTCTGATATCAAGATATAATATAAGATTCATCTTGAAGACAGTGTAATAGTATTATACAGGTCTCTTTATAACTTGTCTGTAAAGAAGTTGAATATTCTGTATAAATATCTTGAAGAAGTGTAATTAAAGAACTGAATACATTTATCAAAGAGTTCAGCAGAGATGTCTATACTCTTTATACTTAAGAAGAATGATAGACTACATCTATGCATAGACTATAAAGGCCTTAATAAGATAATGATTAAGAATCACTATTTATTACTGTTAATTAACAAGATAATTGATCAATTATCTGAAGTAAAGATATTCTCAAAGATTGATATACAGAATATCTATCATAGAATCAGAGTTAACAAAGATGATGTTTGAAAAACAGCTTTTTATATTAAGTACAGTAATTTTAAATATCTTGTTTTATCTTTTAATCTTTATAATGCTTCAGCTATCTTTCAGATCTATATAAATAAAACACTGTAAGGTCTTGTCAATGTCTTCTGTATAGTATACTTGAATGACATTCTAATCTTCTTAAAAACAGAGAAAGAATATAATACTCATGTTCAAGAAGTGTTGAGTCACTTGAGACAGTATTAACTCTATATAAACACTGAAAAATGCTCATTCTACATGCAGAAGATTGATTTCTTAGATTATATTATTAAAGTGAATGACATTTCAATGAACAGAAGCTAAGTCTTTATTATTGAGAACTGACTGATGCTGCAGATGTACTGTGAGATGCAGATATTTCTAGAATTTATAAATTTCTACAGATAATTTATCTATATATATTCACAGATTACTGTCTCTCTTACAGATCTGTTGAAGAGAAGTGTGAAAGACAGAAAAACAGAACTATTTATTCTCACTCAAGACACTGTGTAGATGTTTGTAGAATTGAAATAAGCTTTCATAGATATTATAATACTGAATCACTTTAACTCTGACTTACTCAGTCAGTGTAAGACTGATATATTCAGAAATGAGATCTATAAAATCTTTTCACAGTTAATATCAGAGATCTTTTAACATTGAAAGAATCAGAAAATAATCATCTCTGAGAAAACAGATAATGAATTATCTGTAAGAGAAGACTTTTTCACAGAGTTTATAAGATATTATAAATAAAGATCAGTAATTTTCTTCTTCAAGAAGTTATCACTCATACAGAGAAGATATAATACTTATAATCAGAAGATATTAATAATTGTCAAATTCTTTAAGATCTGGTAATATTATCTTTAAAGTAGTAAGTACTCAGTGTAAGTTCTCACTAATTATGTAAATCTATGTTACTTCTTAACAATAAAGAGCTTGATAGAATGTTAAGTTAGATGAGTGAAGCTGCTTTCAGAGTATGATTTCTATATCTGATATTATTCAGATCAGCTTAACTCTGTTAATACACTGTTTAAACAGCTCAATTATAATATCATTAATATAGAGAAGAATTCTATAAAAGAATCTCTGTCATCACTATAGAAGAAGCTGGCTGCAGAGAATTGAGATTCTCTAAAGCTCAGAAACAGCACTGAAGAGACAGCTGCATAACTCAGTATAGAAGATGAAAGAGAACTCAGATCTCTGTGAGAGACTGACACTGAAAATTATAAGCTTCTTATATCACATCTTATAATTATTAAATTGATAAAGAATGAAACAGTCTATAATCTTTTAACTCAACTACTTTTGAAATTCATTGATAAGTTATAGAAGAGGGACATCTCTACTACAGCTTGAATTCAGAAGTTAAAGAAGAAAGAATTCAGTTTAAACTTGAAAGAGACAGACTCTGAGCAGAGCAGTGCTGCTAAGAAATCAAGTCACTGATAACTAGAAGAATATGAACTTCTACTGCTGAATAATTCAGTCTTTGTCTCTTGTAACAGAGTGATGTATTAGAAGTTATTAAGAATTCATCATAATAATCTTTATACAGAATACTTTAAGTTAGAGAAGACTGAGAAGCTTCTAAAATATAAATATACTTAAGACAAGCTTCAGATAGATATCAAAGAGTATATTAAAACTTACAATATCTATTAAAGAATAAAGATTCTGCAGTATAAGTAATACAGTGAGTTAATATCACTGTCTGTTTTAAAGAGCTTATAACAGAATTTATTAATAAATTTCATAGTTAATCTGCTGAAGTTGATAAGAGTCAAAGAATATGACTTAATTTTAATCATTATTAACTGCTTCATGAAGATAATCAGATATATTTTTACTTATAAAAAGATTAAAGCCTCTGAATTGACTGACCTGTTTTTAGATATTATTATTCATAATTATAGTGCTTTAAAATCATTAATAATAGATTGAGAATTCCTCTTTATCAGTAAATACTAATCAGCTTTTTACTATTATCTTATAATAAGATATCTTCTCAGTACTGCATTTTATCTGCAGACTGATGATCAGACTGAATATCAGAATCAGACACTAGAACAGCATCTTTAAGTATTCTATTTATATTATCAGAATAATTGACTTAAACATCTTCTAACTGTTGAATTTGTATATAATAATATAAAGAATGTAATCTTAAAGATATCTTCTTTCTATACTTATTATGAATATAATTCTTCATTACTCAGTGATGTCACAGATAATATTTTAAAGAAGAAGATAGACAGTTAAAATATCAGATAGATATAGAGAATAAAGTATTTCTCAGTATTAGAAGTAAAAGTAAGATTGAAACTTTTAAATAAAATTTATAAGAAGATAGTGAAAAGTATTTACTGCACTTAGAAGTAGTAAATAAAATACTATAATTAAAAACATCTTCTAATGAAGTTCTTGATAGAGAATTAAGTACTACTTTCAGTAAAGAATATCAAGATAATAAAACTATATAAGAAGCTCAGTGAGTAGTGACTAGAATCTTTTCTGATAACAAGAGTGATAAGTAAGTAGATATATAAGTTAAAATTATTCACAGAATTGAAATCAATTTATTCTGTTTTTCATATTTTCTATTTAAAGCTCTATAAGTAATACTTCAGAGCAGAGCTGTCTCAGCTAAATAATATTAAGATTAAGAGTGATATTAAATATCTTATAAAGAAAATATTGAATAAGTGAATATATTATAGTAAGCTTCAATATCTCATTAAATGAAAAGATTATTTATTATCAGAGAATTTATAAGAATTACTTAAATATTTGAAAAATACTGAGAAAGAGATTACAATCTATGAGATAGTTAGTAGAGATTATCTTATTATATATCAGAGACATTGAGTAAGAAATATCACTTAAGACTTCTTATTTTTCTTAAAGGATTTTTTTAGAGATAATCTTACAGTAGTGAGTCAGTATCTTATAGACTCTATAATACTCTTCTTCTATTTTCTTTTAAAGAGTTTTTAGAAGTTTAATAAGACTATACAAGTATAAAATTCCTGAAGCAGTTAGAGAAAAAAGATATTAGAAATTAATAAAAAGATTAATATTATCAATCTATGAGCTGCTGCTATTCTAATAGAGCTGCAGTCTGCTGAAAAAGTAAAAAGAGAGATCAGAGTCTACTTATTAATAATCACATCTTCATCAAACTCATTCTTCACTATTAAAGTCTCTGACATTAGTATCTTTATCTGTTAAGAAGTTAGCACTGCAGTGCTGTAGAGAAGCATGCTACAGAAGAGTATGAGAAATACATGAAATATTAACTTATTAACTTATAAAGCATCTCAGTTATCTGTTTTAATTAAAGTAAGATTCTCTTTAATCAGTGATTAATCTCTACAGTGCTTTCAACAGTGACATCAGCTGATCTCTTCTTAAGATCAGCTATTCTGAGATATTTTTTTATCTTGAAGATTCATGCTTTCATCTTCTTTTACAGATAAGTAAGAGAGATCTTCTCAGTCTTAATGAAATTCATCAATGCTTGAAGCTCTAAGACTCTCACTCTGTACTGCTTGAATATCTAGACTTCTTATCAGAGCTGATATGACATCTTTCTGTAAGATAATACTTACAGAGAGACAGGAGTTATTGTTACAGATGTAACAGAAATAACAGAAGTGAGAGAAGAGACAGATATATAAAATCTCTCTCTTCTTCAGCTGCTTAGTACAGTACAGACAAGTGATGATGCTGGTCAGAGGCCACACTGAAGCCTTCTTACAGAGAGAAGATGAAGAAATCATGAGACTCTGTGAACTCAACTCAGCAGCATTCTGAGCAGGGCTCAGGCATGTGAGAGAGAAACTACAGATTGAGCTTCTCAGAGTCACTGTCCCTGGAATCAAGCTCTCCCCGGGTTCCTCTCTGAATGACCACATGAGGTCATACATCACTGTATTGGTGAGGGGGGGGGGCAGCGTCGCAATGGCGGTGGGGGGGGCAGGGGAAGGACCAGACATGAATGAACCAACTGGCAGAAGAGATGACACCTCACTGCAGGGCATGGTGACTACCACCACAGCTGTAAGAGAAGTAGAAGAAGGAGAAGAAGATGTGGCAATGAGAGCAGTGCTCCCGCGGCTCAGTGATGCTGCTGTCTCTGCCTTCAACCTGGCTTTCTTGATAGTCACAGAGACTGCTGCCACACCATGAAGATATTTACTTACTAGAAAACATCAGAATAAGTCCTTGATTATTCTTCAAGAATGATACTCTCATGCACTCACTATTACAATTAAGAGAGAGAAAAGAAAAATGTTTCACAGAGAGAGAGATCTTTTTAAAAAATCCTGCTACTACTGTCAGCTTTGTCTCTAAAATACATCACTTTTGCAGAGAATTTTATATATAGAATGAAATATAATAAGAGATCTGTAAGTCACTTATTAACTACATTTTTCTTATCTTAAATTAATATATAAGAAACTCACTTATCATGTATTTGATTTAAATGAAGATAAGAAAAGAAAGATCTATATAGTCAGTAGAATAACTTATCTATTTCTTTGTATTATATACAGTATATACACTGTCAATCAGTTAGTAATTATTACTATATAACAAAGATAATTTCTAATTCAGTAATCTTAAGAGCATAGAGACTATACTCTTAAGAGAGAGAGTATTATTATACTTCTAACTGTATTAAGACTTTGTTACAGTTTCACACAGCTTATTACTTTCATGTGAATAATTTCATTTCATTTGAACTGATTTTCAATCACTCTATGATATTATTCAGATATATCATAGAAAGATCTGATTAATAAATATAAGAACTCTGCTTCTATATAAGATCAGCAGATTACTCTTTCTTAATAATAAGACACTACTGAGATATTACTCTGACTATTCTCACTTATGAAATGAGAGAAGAGTATCTGCTTATTATCTATATAGAATAGCTAGATACTGACTTCTTATTAAAGAAGTCAGTAATTTATTTTACTTCAATAGAAATATATACAAGAGTTACTGTGTATCTCATATAATCTTCTTAGTATACTAAGTATCATATCTGTGATATTCTTACAATAACTCTGTAGTCTACAAGCTCACTATTCAAGCAAGATAATTAAGCTCACTTATACAGCTTTTTAAACAACTATCTCTACATGTCACTGCTGACTAGCCACTGCTTCAGTTCTGTCATATTACATAATCTTTCTTTATCAATCTGTTCAGATCTTAGTAGTTTACATAGAATCAGAGTTCTTTATCTGATTTCTTTACAAAGAGAATAGAGACTGCAGTGAAAGAGTTACTAATATATATAAATTCTTTATTTAACAGATTATTGAGTGTCTTTCAAAGAAGAAGAAGTTCATCTCAGAACATGTTATAAAGAGAGTCTTATAGTAATTCAGAATTCTTATTATTCTTTTTCTTTAACTTAATACTATGATTAGACTGACCGTGTGACTGTGTCTGAGATCAGAACCAGATTTTTTGATAGTCTTATTATCAATTTGACTGATTTCATTACACAGTTTTAACATTAGATAGTAGTCTCATACTGTTTCAGTGAGACTTACTGTCTACTCTTGTCACATTTTTCAAATAAGATCATGATTTCCACTTCTCAATTTAAATTATTTTTATTACTTTAAATGACTTTAAATCTCATTTGAGCATTATCAAAAAGCATTACTTTTTAAAAAATTAAAAATAGTCTAAAAAAAACCTTAAAATGTCTAAAAATAGTAACTTTATATCAAGAATGAAACTAAATGAGATTAAATGAAATCACTTTCTCATTTTTTTCAAGTCATGGTTCCATTTTAAGATCTGATATATAGTTACTTTACATGTTTTTTTGATAGCCAGTCTCAGCAGAATTCACGTCAAGAAATGTATGAGATCAGATCAAATAGAATCAAATATGAAATTTATAATCTCAATAATCAGTCTAACTGTGATTCACTCTGAGATCTTGTAAGAAGAGTATGTTTATAATATTATCTTATCAGAAGACATCTAGATATTCATAATATTATTAAGAAAGTTTTGTATAAGAATCTGTTATTATAATATAAGATAATTTTTCTAGAGTCTTTTTAATTGTGATTCAAAGGTTGCTTAAGCCAGCGTACGATTACAGGCGTACGCCGGCTTCTTATATATTGAATCTCGTATGCTAAATTAATTAGTGGCTGCTATGACTCTCTTTATATTTGTACACTAGTAGTTCAGAAGCGGCTGCATTATTATCTGATGATTGTATGTTCTTCCGAATCACATTCTCTCTCACCAGATTCAGTCATGCTTATGTGACCATGTTGTACATTCTAGCTTCATGCGGATTAACTTGTCACTAGCATTTCACAATTATGTGATCTATTTCTGATTTGACTAGTGTTCTGTATACACTCTTACAAAGAAACTTTCACTATATTACATCACTTATTTACTAACTTTTCTCATTCTTCAATCATCATCTTCATCATTGTTATTATCAAATGCTATTATCATCTCAGATTTCTATTTCTTCTTCTATTCAACTCTTTCTATCTATTCATCTATCATATTGTACATGTTTCTGGCAATGACTCTCTGTTCTTATAACAAGTATTATTGTAGTACTCATACCAGGCAGTTTGTTAGCAGTAAGTGTAATGTGTTGTGAAATGTGATCAGAACTTGTTTATCTTCTAATAATTGTCAGAATAATGTATTATTATGAATGATACATCTTCTTCATCTTCTCATACACTCTCTTTATCTTCTCATACACTCTTAACTGTTTCTCTTCTCAGCAGGTTTCTGATTGTGTTTTCTGACACAATTTTACATAGACACAGATGCTGATATGTTGTTTTTATTTATATAGAATTCTCACACATTGACAGATTCATGTCTGTCAATGATAGTGAACTCAATATTGAATCATTGATTGAGAACTTGAAGAATGTAATAATGAAGAAATTGTCTGTGTCATGTATAACTGAGTCTTCTGCATTTTCTTCTACTCTCTCTGTTTCTTTCTCTGCTACTTCTTCTCAATCTTCTACACCTGTCTCTGTGTCTGATTCTCCCGCTTCTGCTACCTCTGTTTCTGTGACCTCTGGTTTTACTGTCTCTGCTTTCATCACTAGCTCTTCCTGTTTTAAGAAGATGTTATATAGGCTTAATGAATCACATCTCTCAGTGTGTATACTCTCACTCTTCTTATCAACTCTTAGAATGATTTATTGTATAAAGACTGTATATGACATAACTATCTGAAGCTCAGTCACAGATACTGATTATTACATTCATTTTAAATATTCATAATAGAGTAATTATTTATTTATTTCAGAGAATCATTCTCTCTTTTAACAGTATTAAGATTGTAAGTCTTTTTCTTTTTATCTTTTCTTTCTGACACTGATTTTTCTATTCTTAGAGGAAATTATTATGAGTTTTATTATACATGAAGTCATGATATTCACAGATATTAAGAAACTTTTCATAATTATTAAATTCAATATTGTGAATACATTCACTCTGATAAATATCTTCAGTATAATCAATCTGTATCAGTCTATTCTCTGGCATTTGTTATCTGACTTTATGATGCAGGTGAAGAATATTCATGTTTTCAGAAACAGAAATACAGATATCATTCTCTTTTACATCTGCAGATGTGAGGCTTATACACCTTGTCTGAGATGTTATTATGAGAATGAGCTGTTCACATGCTGTGTTCTGCTTTTTATATTCTCTCATGTCTCTCTCTCTCTTTCTGAGAAGCCTCATGTGTATTGTAATTGCATGTATAACTCTAAGATTAGTAGGTGTTCATTTAATAACTGTTCTCATCTCTGAGTTTGTAATTTTCATACACTAACAATGATTCTTAGTTGCTTCAGTGTCAGAGATCATTCTAATCAAAGATGATAACACTGCTGAGACTACTCTCTCTTATTTTTAAGCTTCTCTTATCACTTTCTCTCTCTTTTCTGCAGAGAAGATTGTGTATATATCAGATTATAAGTATTCAGCACTGAGTGACTTCTGCTGTTATTCATTTAATTCTGTATCTTCTTCTTCTTCTATTTCTTTCATCTTCACTCTCTCTGTTCTGGCTTCTGATTCTGCAGGTTCTGCACTCTTCTTCAATTTCTCTACACATACATGTACACATTTCTATATTGGCATTTCAGTCAATCTTATGATAAATAACATTAATGTTATATACAGAGCAGTAGAGAAATCAGAGACATGCACAGTGTTATTACAAGAGCAGCTTACAGCTCTCAAATCTCTTACAGATCTCAAGTTTTGAGATTTTCTTTGTTTTTAGTATTTTTCAGATGATATGATGTTGAAAATAGATTAAATATATAGTATATGAAAATGAATGAGATATATATAATAATATTTATCTTTTACAGCTAACTCTTACAGTTGATAACTAATTCATTATCTCTTTTCTTACACTTTTTCTTTATCTGTTAGTCACTACTCTTACACAATCTCTATATAATACAGCATTCAGTGACTAGGTTCAGCAGCTTTCATCTTTTATAATTCTGTCTCATATATTATACTGTCTCTCTTCACTCACTCAGATCACTACAGTGAATGACTCATTGAAACTAATCTTACTCAATCTCTGAGTATTCTCAGAGATTAAGATGACTTAGTCTTACATATTTATAAATGTTTCAGATAGTTCATTCTCTGTAATCTTCATAATTGAACTGATGTAAACAGTTAAATTCAACTCTGAATTCCTTTTTCTTCTGTGATCTGATTTATATACAAGTCTGTCACTCTGAGACTACTCTTTACTATGTTGCACTCACTATCTGCAGCACATTATCATACAATCAGCTACAGTTTTATTACTTATTGAAGTATGATATTCATCTGATTTCTTTATTACTTCTCATTCTTTTCTTATAATTGTGAAAAGATCAGAATAAGTGAGATTATCTGATTTATAAGTGTCTATGATTTCTCTTACTTTACAAGACTTTTCAATTATAAGTCTCTTCTTTTTTAACACTGATAATAGTGCTGTGAATAACTATAATTCACTCAGGTCTTGTATCTTTGCTTTCATAAGTTATGAATCATTGATTAAGTTATATAAGACTCATTTCTCTGATTCTTCCAATGTATACATTCTCAGAGAATATGATTTAAGTATTTTATATAGCTCAAAT